GTAATGATGGAAAAGAAACTGGAAACTGCTACAGAATAGTAGGGTATTTATTGGGGTTGTCGTAGGAAATAAGGGAATATAACCCCTATGTAATCCCAACATGTAGTGTATACCCGTCTTCCCTACAAGAAAAAGAGTGACCACTGCACCGGTGATCAACTGTCTTCTGGCCTTCCAGAGTCGTCAGTCGCACTGCCTGATCAAAGGATATCCCATTGACATTCTGTAGCAAACATTGGATGCGGCTCTGGATATGGCGACAATGCTCATTTACCACGTGAGAATGTGCGTCCTACTATGAACACAGACCCGCCCGCGTCAAAAGAAAAGGATGAACTCTGGATTCGCCTCCAGTGCGGCCTGCACATCTGCGTCAGTAAACTCTGTTGCACCTGAAAGATCTGGACACTGACACTTGTGGTATATGCTTCAGATACCTCACTCAGAACTGTCAAATCAGAGGACAGGAGATGGTTGGAATGGCTTTGAGCATGACTTAGGCACTGGCAAGAAGGGTACGCGACAGCCTGCTTCAGTGTGCCCTGAGGAATGTAGGACCTGAACCGGGACTGACAGATTGCATCAATCTGTTACAAGTGTCTCCAAATTAGGCTTCCCGTAAAGCCATGTTTGAACAAATAGCAGGCTCTTGTTTTGGAGACAAGAATGTGAGGACTCTCGTAGACGCGCAGACTTGAGGGAAGCCAACGCTGGCAACAAGCCGAGACCCCAAGAAGACCAGTTCATCTGCACATCTTGCTCCCACGGGCCCCAGACTTTTGTGGCAGGAACAACGTTTTGTCAGGGAGGTGCACGTCCCCGCTTGCGTGGGGCCTCGGCATGCTGGCACGCGACAGGAGCCTTTGGCGGCAGCTGCGGCGAGGCCAGACTGACTGGGATTTCCGCGAGCTGCACGCCCTCACGCTTTCCCTGAAGCATAATCATGGCCAAGTCGCCAGATACCTGCCATGGCTCGAAAGAAGCAGCTCTTGCCAGTCCCCTCCGGCGCTGATAGCAGCACGAACCTCACATCTGTGTTTGAAAACAAGAATTCACCAAGGCCTTCGCTGAGTATGCGGCTCTCCTGGCTTCACTTCCAGATGCGCATCCCTCCAAAGCTGCCGCCTCAAAATGTGCAAAGTTCAGAATCTTCCATATTCGAGCAGCACAGAGTACAGGCTGAGCGCCCTCTGTGGGCGGCGCTGGTCAACTTTGCCCGGCAACTGGACGCTCAACCCAGAAACTCGAGCCGCAGCATCGGTCCCCTTGGCTGCCTCGGCTGGTCTTTCGTAGCGCGGACACCATTTTAGCACGTTTAAGCCAGGCACCAGCGATCGCTTGACCTCACACTTTGAGCTGCTGCCGTCCAGGGCCTTTGCAGAGCACATTGAAGCGCGGCTTTGCTGAAGCGCCATGCGGCTTGGTGCGGCTGAGGCACTCGTGTGAAGTTGGAGAGACGATCTACAGTTGCTCGGTAGCCTCAGGCGCATCGCCAGCTTCATCGCAAAATATTGCAAACTGCTTTAGCACTGCCTAGGCAGGGACCTGTCAGCTCTGAGTAGCTCCCGAGAAACCAATCGAAGCCTGACTTCACCGCCCACAACCTGCGGTCTCATCTACGAATTTACAGAAAGAGACGTGTTCAGTTGCTGAGGGAAGCTGAGGGCTTCCAGCTCAGGACCAAGCACGTCAAAGAGCATGAACATGGTGCCGAGCGTAATCTGGCCCCGAAAATAATTGGGAGCCAGCACCAGGTAGGGAAATATGCTCGAGGTTTGATAGTAGAAGGACCTGTTTCAGGACTCTGCTGTCAAAGCTGTCGAAGAGGCTCGGGGGGCGCACACGAAGAAGCCCAAGCGCTTAGTATAACTCATCATCATCCACCACCTTGTCCAGCTTCTCAGACTTGCTCTTCTCAGACTTGCTTTGCAGCTGAATGTTTCATGCACTGAGTACTCGACACTCTCTCAATCCACTCGAACTTCCCACGCAACCGCTTCTCTTCGCAGGGCTCGGAGCCGTAGAGAGCAATGCTCTCGGCGTTGTCACCTTGCAATGCAACCAAGCACGTGAGAGACGCGAGGAGCACGTTGCATGAGCTCGCAGCGGATTTGCACTATGTCATATCGAAAGCCAGCCTGGCATTACTAGTACCAGACAATTCCTCAAGCGCATCCAAGCCGCACACAATCACACCAAACGCACCTCGTACTTCTGGAGGCCAAAGTTGATGACGATCAGTCTCTGTCCTACCTAATGTCATTGAAGTTGGGAACTGTCCAGAAGGACTCGAAAGGACATGCTCAGTGAGCTACAAAGTGAGCCACAATGGCTCCGACGCCAGAATATAGGAGCGTTATGTACAAGAGCCAGCCTGGACAGTAGAACCTCAGCTTGCAGGTTGCAAGCCTATTCTTTCATGAAGATGTAGTGAATCCCAACCTTCTGTCTGGCAGGATAAGCCTCTAACTGCCCGAATGCATAGGTCGGCGAAAGCAGGAGAAGCATCGGCCTCATTGACAAAAAATCCGCATGCACAGACATGCTCGGCGGGTGATTTCATTTTTTCCGGCTACTGTTCTGTTTCTGAAGAAGCCTTTGGGGCGGTGGTGGAAACACTCACCGAGTACCAGATTGCCCTAAGCCTATAATTTGAAATCCAGGGCCTTGGATGTTGGATGTTAAATCGTAGGTTCAGGTTTTTTGGGCTGGCTTTTCGGAATTTGCTGTTGGGCCTTGGACTCCGGAATTTTGGTTCAAGGTTTTGGATCTGGTTTCAGGTTTGGGGCTTCGGGGCTTCTGTACTTTTAAAACCAGATCACTGAGGGCTTGACAGCCTTGACAGGAGATGTGTCGTGGCAGTGACAAAGCCTGCTGGGAATCCGAAACAGGGCAAAGAGGAAGACTGGCAGTGGCAAAAATTCGAGAGCGGTGGCCACAGCAACAGAAATCGTTTTGTTCTGCCGTGCCTGTCCCCAAAGACATTGTCTGCCTTGGCTCCAGGAAATTAGCTGAAAAGATTTCTCACATGGTGCTCAGATGCGTACTCGACAAACAGACGCACGTCTTCCTGGATTCGCTGGTCTGGGTTGTCAGGCACCTGGTCTGCAGAGCATGGACCCCTGACCGCTTGTTTTCAAATGCCGCAGAGCTCAGGGCGTCCGAGTTGGCACTGAGCTGCAGAGTGTAAAAGCACTTGTCCTGTTTTGCAAGATAACCTGCACAGAGCCTCCGCACAAGTGTTGCCACCTTCAACCACTTTGTCAACAGCCATTGCGTCATGGAACGGCGCCATCGGATGGATAGCATCATGCCTCCGCAGTCAACTCCAAAAGCTGGACAAGCACTTCAGACTAACCGGGACCCCCGACTGATGTACTGGCAGTAGGTGGAAAGAATGATTTTGGAGAAGGCCAGGAGGACAAGATCCAGGATAAGCCTCACCCAGCTTGTGCTCCGAATCTGGACACTGCCATTTTGATGAAACCCATGTACGATGCTATTTCTCTTGCATATCAGGGATCCCGAGGACATGATATCCCCAGCTGGGATGCAATATGATGCAATTCATTAATCTTAAGGGATTGGGTCGTATAACCGAGGATCCAGCGGAAAGAAGCGAGACAAGTTCTTCTTCTCAATGGTATCCCAAAATTCTTTTGACCACACCATGATGACCAGACCTTCAATGGACTGCTCCAGTCAGCTTTTCGTCATCTTCACCAAACTTGCAGGGATGTTTTTGAGCAACTCAGAAGCAAGCCGAGCACCAGGTCGATCGTGCCCAGCCTGGGGAAACAGTACAGCTAACTGCCTCTTACCGTAGCACTCTTAGCTGCACTTAGCGGAGCCACGCGGAGATCGCTGCCAAGTAAGCCCACGCAGTCCGCCGCTCATGTCCCAGATAGAAAGGCCTCTTTGGCACTCATCGCATTCACCACCAGTGAAGTCTTTTGAGAGCTGTCCACGGAGCCTCACCAAAGGCAAAATTCCACCTGACAGCAGTGCCAGGAGCAAGATCCAAAAACAAGGTCAGCCAGGTACTCAAGTCTCCCACGGAAGAGTTGCAGCATCTGCTGCTCATGATGCTCTGCTCCACAATCAGGCCTTGCAACTTTGCGGTGCGCAGCAGCTAGTTTTGCTCCCAAGCTCTGCTAGGAAAAAACACTGTTTTGCGAACTTGCAGCGACCAAAAAAGGGACAGCAGCATGTCATGTGATGTCTCTCAGGCTGGCACGTGTCAGTCAGGTCCACATCTGCCAATCGTCGATGATAGAGCTCAAAGCCCACTGCAAAGAGGCCAGCGATGGCTGCCACGACCCACATGTACGGCTCCCAAAACTCGGACACAGACCTTACGGGTGCACGGTGGGCTCACGAGACTTCATGATGCCTCCGAGAATGAGGGCAAGGCATCTTGGAGACATCGAAGCCAAAGCTTCCCCCACCTAGCATGTCGCAGGGCATCGCTTAAACTCATTTCTCCGTTTTTGCCAACTTCCACGCCTTCTCCACTCTGCGTAGCATTGTGTGTGCTGTTGGCTGGTTTGCGTCCACCTTCCTTCGGCCCGCTGTTGGCAATTTGTAGGCGCTTCGCTTCCTGCTCGCAGGTTGCAAAGCCAGTTGGCATAGATCTGCTACCATGCTCCCGGAAGCGCCAGCAGAAGCCACCAAGGCTTTGCTTCTGAATACTTCTTTTTGCCGCCCTTCTGTGAACAAAGCTTAGCTGCAAATCAGAGGATCTGTAGGAAGTCGCTGCTCAGCACTTCCTGTGATTTCAGTGATTTAGAATTATCAAAAGACTAGAACCTCGAGGCCAATGAAGCTAGGCAGGCTTTTTCACGGGAGTACAAGGGGGGAGGGAAGGTGCATGCAAGCAAGAAGCACGAACCCCGATAAGGGTCTCGAAAACCCTGCCCAAGACCTTGCCAACTCCTGCCACTCCACTTTCCAACCACGTTTCATTCCACTTCCAATCTACTCCCCATTCACCCCACTTTCCATTTTATTGTCCACTCCACGTTCCACTCCACTTGACTCTCGACTGTTCACTCGACTCTCCACTCGAGTCTCCACTCTTCCACCTTGGAGGCCGCGCCACTCCTCTCTCCCGTTGCCAGACCCACTCTCCACACCCAACTCTCCAGCCCACTCCTCTGACCCAATCTCTCCACGCCACTTTCCAAGCCACTCTCCACTCCATTCTCCTCTCCACTCTCCACCCACTCTTTGCTCCACCTCACCCTACTTTCCTGTCCAGCTTCTATTCTACTCTCCACTGAACTCTCCACTGCACTCTCACTCCAACTTCCACGCCACTGAACATTCTCCACTGTCCGTTCCACTCCACTCCTTTCCATTCCCCAATGGCAACCTCATCCCTGCGAAGGTCCAAAACTCAGGACAGTTACGAGCATGGCGATCCCACTGGTCTGCCAGAAGCGGCCCCATCCTTGCGACTGCTGGCATGGTCAACCTGCCAGGAAGACACGACCGACCACGGCTTTGATCATGGCGACCCCAAGGGCGCCGATGCCTGCAGCTGGCATTTTGTGCACGCGATGAAGTTGCGACGCTCCAAAACTGGCAATATGGCAACCGCCGAGGCCCATCCCTGTGAGGCACTTTTCGAGCGCAAAAAAAAGACGCGACCCTCCAAAAGCAACGACAGCTACAAGGATCTTGCAAACGCTTGACAACGCTTGCGGCTTCTTTGCAGATGCTTGCGGATACACACACCCAACCAGTTTGGTCACCTCAATTGACCCCGGGATTGCATGCAAAAACAAGCATGATGCTACTCGCAGTATGACCACACAACTGTAGGGAACGCTACCAGAGAAGAAGGGAGGTTCGGTGCAACCACCTAGCATATCCTAGCATGAAGCTGCCCGCAGTATGAACACGCGACGGTACACAAGGAGTTGGTATATTTTATGCAAAGCAAGATGTTACTCGCACACCGAACATGATGTCATTCGTACGAATCCTCCCTGATAGTACCACAGTGTATCACACTAGCCTCTAGACCCCGCCAAATCTACGCTCCCCCCTGCTTCAAATCCATCAGTTTCCTGTGCAAGAACTATGCTCGACCCCGCCCCCTCCCCGCCGTGCTGTAACATGTCACATGATTGGCAGCTTTCCCAACATGGAATAGCTCCGCTGGCTTTTGTGACTTCTGCTGCAGCCCAGTTTGATGGAGCAGGACTTGCTTTACTTGGTAGGCCGTGTTAGGGTGCGGGATTAAGATGTGACGTAATATGACATGATGCAGGCTTGGCTGCGGCCTCACCGCCCGGGCTGTGACAAATGTTTGCCGGGATGGCCTACACCTGAATTCCTCAGGGCTGGGCCTTCTCACCGCTGGTAGCGGTAGCGCTGGCCTCAAGTACAGATCCATGGCGGTGCAGGCCTAACCAGCTCCCAAGTGCTTTTCTGAGGCTGGCACGTTTCCCACGGGTTGAGACAAAAGAGACGCGTTTGTCGCCTGCAACCGTGCATCTGATGAACACATCTTTGGCTGTCAGCAGGGTGTGTAAGGCTGCCTTGAGCTCAGTGCTGTTGCCGACAGAACCTGCAACCAATGTTAAGGCGGCATGAGTCAGCATGAGGTGTTGATAGCACGGGAGTGACAAACCTCCTTGGTGCAGCTTGAAGCAGCTAGCTGCACTGAGAAAAAAGAAGCCAAGGAGGATGCTTCGGCCTCCGGCAACTTTCCATGGGATTTCACTGATGCTCAGGCTCCGTACCGTACCGTCCGTACCTCTCAGAGCCGTCATCAGGATGTTCCGTATCAGGTCTGCATTGTCCTCAAAGCCTTCCTTGAATCAAATTAAACATCAAATGTGCAGCTTGCGAGCAACTTGTTGCCTATGGCTAAGATGCTGTCAAGGCAAATGAAGGACTACGGACGCCTTTGCGCACTGCAAAGGGCTAAATTGAGCCAGAGCAGCGGAAATGCAAGCAAAACCATATGGGCTTTCAGCTTCATCAATGACAGCTTCTGCTGCACGCCTGCACAAACTAACTAGCCGGCTGTAAGAGTCATAGTGATAGTTGCAGGGACCTCAGTCCAAACATGATGCAGCAGTGGCATACTAAGGGTGGCACCATCTGAGCACTGAATAGACTCAGCGATTGCAGCCATGCGGTCGCGTCCACCTTCAAGACTACGTCTACAACACACTGGCATCCAAAGCTGCCACAACTCGCGACACTTCAGGTGCCGGCGTCTTTTTGATGGCAACTGAATTGGCTGCTCTGACGGCACTGTATCCTGCAAGGCTTATGGACAAGAGTGGTGGAATTGCGGCTTCTTGCGCGGTCATCGCGCATCCTGCTCAGCTTTTGCCATAAGCCTTGGAGGCTTTGCCGGGCTGTCCGGGGCCTTGCAGAAACAAGCACCGCATGTCACCATCCACCAAACCATGCTAAGAAGCGCCAAGCCTGTGGAAGTCGCCAAATTCTGCGGAGGAGTCGCCCAAAGCTCGTGTCATCCTGCACCGTTAGCACCACTCGCTGTTGCAATGATGACAAACTGCAAACTCTCTGCAGGGAGCTACTCCCTCATGCAGACAGTAGGCTGCTGGCACCGCGGTACAGGGCTGCGATGATGACATGGGCTGACGAGAAGCTATCAAGATCCACGTCCTTGTGTTCGAGGCGGATGCAACTTGAGGAGCTTTGCTGCATCAATGACCTGCCTTCTTGGAGCCCCAACGACGCATGAACTCCCGCAGGGCCTACAATCAAAGTATTTTCCATTTGCAAAAACCCCTTTTCAGCGCATAACCAACGCATTGGTGCCTCGTCGGCTGAGGCCTGCCCAGCCTGGCACGAGAGGGCAAGATCGCTTCTGAAGAGGCAAGGGCGGCTCACCTTGACTGCGGGTAGCTCGAGGGCAGCGATGCGCCTTCAAAGCGTGGCATCAGTAATAGTAATAGTAATAGTAATAGTAATAGTGATAGTAATAGTAATAGTAGCAATAGTGGTAGTGACAGTAAAAGTATTACTGGCAATGAGAATAATAGTTGGACCAAAAGCTCTGATCAGGCTGGTCCTGCGCAGTGACTGTACTGGCAGTGTGCCACGAATGTCTCCTCCAAGATCGAAGAAGACGCTTGAGACCTCCTCGGCTCTTGTGCCGCGCAGGGGGCCATGGATGGCGGCGATCACCTTGGGCTTGCTTTCGCTTCGGAGGGTTTGATTACTGAGCGGCGAGCATACGAGCTAGAGAAACCTTTGTTACCGAGCATTTGCCCCGTTACCTGAGTGTATCACAGCCTCAGCAGAAGGGGGACCCCGTGCTTCGGCGCCCTTTGCCGCCGCCCGTACGGCCGACTGAACTTGGGAAGTGCTGAAGGAAGGTACACCCAAGACACGCAGCGCAGACTGAAGGCTGTTGGCGTCAACAGTGTCCCTGCGCTGCAGCCCCAAAGCAGACAAGAGGTGCGAAGCCCAGGCGTCACCACACTGCCGCCGCAGTGCTTGCTGGAGGTCTCCCCGTTCCCGGGTGACCAGGGGGGCTGCTGGGGCAACCGGGCTGCCAGGCGTCAATGGCCTCGGCTTCCTTGGCTTCAAGGCATCTTTGTCCTCAGCCAAGCCCAGCCGACGGTGTAGCTCCGATTCGAGACCTACCGGCAGCGCCAAGCGTGCCCATCCCTCCGCACCCAAGCTGAGAAGCTGCTTTGGAGTCTCCAGCCATTCTTTATGCAAACGTGCTACAAACTTGTCCGCCTCACCCACTGGGTGCCGCAAGGACAGACAGCACTCTCTGACCAAGGCACGCAGGGTCTGGGGACTCTTAGCTTGTGCTGGTTGCACACGTTGCCCTGGTGCTCGATCCAAACGCCTTTGAGGATTTTGCGGCAATTCTCGGCCTGCTTCTCGGCCTTTACGTTCGTCGCGGAAATCTCTGGCATCCAGCTCGTCTACGAAGGCAGTGACGGGTGCGATGGATGAAGTGTCCTCGGACGGCTCCTTAAGCCTGTCCCAAGGCTTGAACCGGTCGAGGCCTATGGCATCCGGCTGCAGATCCCACACCATGGCTCGGCTCTTCCGGGCATTTGCAAAAAAAACACCTTGGCATTTTCAGTGGAGCGGCCTCTGGCAAGCTTCTTGAATTGGTTCACTAAAAGTTGCTCTCATCTTCTACACAGCTGTGATGTGCCTGGATCAACTAAGCTAGTCTTGAAGGCAAATGCGCTCCCGTCTCCAATCCCAAAGTGACCAAGGTGGAGCCACTTCAAGACATCTTTCCTGATTATTTCCACGGGCGAATCTTGACTCAAAAAGCCTCCTCTTTGAGGCAGCGATTTGCCGTCAAGGAAAATCGCTTGGGTGCGCGGGCTTGCAGACGTCTTGCAACTTCTGGGCCCGGATGTGCATGAACATGGTGACACGTGGTGGGTGGTCCAAGCGCTTGGCCACGGCACCAAGTTTGCGCAACCTTGCAGGTCTTTTGGAGTAATTCATCAGCACTACCTTTCGGTGTGCTTGTGATGCAACGCCATCGGACAGGCTGCAATAAGCCCAGGTCCTGAGCTAGAGTTTGCGGCTGCGCATTTGAGGTTGTCTGGGTTTTTTTACCAGCTCTGAAGCTTGGCGATGGACCCGGGACATGCCAGTGAGACGGGACAGGTGCTGCCAGAGAAAACTTCACAGACTAGACAATGCAAACCTTCGTTCGCTGCCTGTATTATCCCCCGCTGGGAGTTGAGAATGCTCACATCATCTATACAGGGATGCCGTAGTGCCATCACGCATGAAGGGAACTCATTCTGGTACCTGCACAACATGAGTTGGAGGATCTGCAGCTCTTTAGCAACATATGCTTCGTCAACAAACACACATGGCCAATGTGGTGTTTAACTCTTTTGCCCCCGCCTCCACAGCAGGCTGCGTAACGTCTGCCTCCACCCTCTTCTCTGTGGTCTCGGGTGTCCTTGCTTTGGCGTCGGAGTCCTTGGAGCTCTTGGAATTCTTGGAGCCCTGTGGTCTCGGTTTCGACGAGGCTTCCAAAGCTGGAGCAACAGGGAGCGTCACGGGGCCAGAGCTGGAGGAGGCTAACATCTTTGCGTGGGCCTGCAGGCCCTTGGCTGCCCTAGCATCCGGTGTAAACTCCTGCACATGCGCTCGAAGTGCCCCTGCCGTCAAAGCATCTGCACTAAAGTTCTGCGCATGAGCCTCAAGTGCCTTGGCTGCCAGTGCCGTGCGGGGGCTGACCACAGACCTACCAGACGAAGAGGAATCACCCGAACGACTGGAATGCCCACTTGAAGGAGAGTGCAGGCTGCTACGGCTGCTTGCCGCATCCTGCCACGACATGTCACGACATGTCACGACTCATATCATTGTATTCCGCTTCTGGACTAGACTCTGACTCCGAAAGATCACAGGTGGAGATTCAGCAAAACCTTCGCCTCGGCTCTGGCCAAGAAGCGTTTGGAGCAAACTTACGAGGATCCGCTGGTTTTTTCCCTCTTCCTACCCTCCCTCCACAGCAGACCGAAAGGGCTTTCTTTTCTCCCACCAGGATAGGATCATTCCCGCACCTTGCGGCCCCTCACTGAACTTGCTCATCTCCTCGTGCCGAGGCGAAAACACATTAGCGGCTACCATTTATTCCTATGACAGTCACAATCACTAACAGCAGATCAGGCTGTCCTCTGCATCTGAACCCTCCGGGGTAGAGGCTTCAGACCATGATTTGTTGTCCTCCTCATTCTTCGCGTCATCCTCGCGCGGCGTGTCGGAGATCTCCCACGAGCCGCTCTTGCGTGAAGCCATCTTTTTGGGCGACTTCTTGGCCATCGCCAAGTAGGGGTTTTCCGATGCCTTGCCCGTGGCAGCCTCCCGCAATGGATTCGCATCTTTGGTGAGGATGGTAGGAGCCTCAGAAGTCACCGGAGCCTTGTCTTCCACGGACACTTTGCCCTCGTCCTGCAAAGGCTCTTGCGCAATCTTGGCCACATTCTTGAGTCGACGGCGCTGGTGCTTGAAGACACAACGCACCACAACCACCATTGAGACAAGCACCAGCAGAAAAAGGACAGCATAAAACCAGATTGGAGGAGTCCAAGGCTCCTGAGCTGCCTCAGGCGGTGGAGGCGTAGACTGCTTCGGAGCCAGAACGAGGCCCTCCTCTTCCTCCACGATTATCACTCCCTGCCGGCTGGTGGTGGGAATAAGGGGTATAGTTGTGGCCGTCTGCGTGTAGAGTGTTGTGCGAGTTGTCGACGGAAAGGTCGACGTCTCTGGCGCCGATCCGAAGATGGGCCGCAGGCCGCTGCACGTCCCATCTTCTGGTAGTTTGTACAAGACATCGCGTGTGTCCGACAGCAGCTGCCAAGGCGGAGTCCCATCCGGAACATCAAGTTCAAACAGCAAGCGTAGCACGGTGCCCTCGTCAATCTGAAGCAGTCTTGCCGACGTGCCATCCCGAGCTGTGAGAACCCAAAAGCCATCCAAAGGCGACAATGCTGCCGGGACAATCTCTGGAGCTTTCTCAGCCTGGATCTGCGCAAGCGGCATGCACGTGCCACGTTCATGCCGCGTCACGAAGGGCCGGGTGCCTTCTTGTGGAGGTTCTACTGACGTGTCTGCAGCATCGAATGCCCCTGGCAACCGCTTCAAGCGAAGCTCGATATGCTGCTGCGGAAAGGCTCCTGACGGAGCTTCTCCCGTTTCAGCTCCAGGCTGCAAGGGATCGGGGAGCTGTGATGCTGGCAAAGAGATCAAGAAGGCCTTAGCCTCCGCATGCATCATCAAATGATCCCGACCAGTCGGCGCGGTCAGCCGCAAGATCGCGCTGCCTGTTTGCGCAAAACCAGCGTACGTGACTGGACGCAGGTCTGAGCTGATGTCAATTCTTAGGTATGCCTGTGCACGTGTCGCTGCGTGCAACTCCTTTTCAGCTATTGCTGCTTCCAGCTTTGCTGCAGCTGCTCCGGAGGCTTCAAAGACAGCGTTGGCTGGACTGCCTTCCCTCTGCACGCTCCAAGGTGACCAAGGCCGCCGCCAACTCCAAGTGGCAGGGCCCGCGGCATAGCCATCATCTCGCTGGCCTGCGACCCAGGCTGTCAAAAGCTCCAGGCGACTGAGGCGTCGCCTTGCCAGCAGAGCAGCCGATCGGCGGCTGCGGTCCAATGCCGACCGCAACTTACTAAGCTCGTGCCAGTGCCAGGCAGCCTCTGGCCGATCACTACCAGTGGTCATGTTGGAGCGAGTGGACCATTGTAAGATCACGTCAATGTGGGCTGCTATGTGAGTTGCCTGCGCTGAAGCTGCTGCCGAGATGCTGGGCTCTTTTTGAATATCCCGAATGTCCACAACTTGCAGCAACAGCTCCTCAAATATCCGAATCCTGCCCCAAACCATCTGCAACATTTCACTGGATGCCCTCTTCAATCGAAGGTCTTCAACCCGCGGGTCAATCCAGGGCCGGACAGCTTGTGGACCAAAGCCTTCCCAAGCATCCTCTACTGCCAATTCTTCTGACACCTGCCTTGCCACAAAGGACAAACACCAACCACGGTTGCCACAACTTGATGGAAGCGAGATGTTAGGGAGAGGCCCTGCAAACAGCATTGAGCCCTCACGCGTTAGCGGTTCCAAAACAAGCTCAGTAAAATCTGAGACTTGGGCTATGGCCGCACGCATGATCGGCAAGAGCCTCGTCAAAGAAGTGGACCCGGTTTGGTTCTCTACATGAAAGCGGACATCCTCTGCAAAGTCGAACCAATCCTCTGCCACTTGCAGAAAGGGCTCCCAGACGCGTTTCCGTGTATCTGCAATATCGACAGACCCAGGAGGCAGCTCAGCACCTCCCAAAGGAGCCGTCATAACGGGAGGCCAGCTTGCGGAGTCTGCCTGGACAAGCAACCTCCACTCAAGACCATGGTACCAGGAGTGACCCCAAGTCCCAAGCATCATGAGCGCCATGGAGCCAATCCTCTGCACCACCTCTACACTATGCTGTTCCTTCTGGGATAGGTCCGTGGCGTTGACCAACGCTTGCAGCTGTCCACGGAGCTTCCAAGTGATGGCTTGTGCCATCCGGACAACGCTGAAGCCTGCGGCCTCGCCGCTTTCACCGAGGAGTTTGTCAATCTCCTGCAGTTCTCGCAGCTTACCCGGAAGGAGCTGCACGCAACTGGATACCTCAGACTGCCACTGCTCCTCTAGCGCCTTGGCTCCAGCAGCAGCTTGCAGGGCTTCGCCCCGCAGCTGCACCAGCTGGGCTTCAGCTACCTCTGCTGTATAATCAAGTAGTTGTATGTTTGATGTTGTAGTCGTTGTGGTGGCATTGGCGGTGACATTGGGGGTGGCGTGGACGGTTACGTTGGCATCTACCTCGGTCGCATTGCTGTTGCTCTGGTTGAGCGCAGAGTCGTTGGCAATGTGCTCGTCAGTGCTGTTCACGTCACTGGTGTTGTCAGCAGCCGTGATATTGGCAAGCAAACGTCCCGGTGCAGCAAACAAGGGATGAATGAGAGACTGCCAGGTGGTCAGGTTGGGCGGGATCAACTTCACCATGGCCTGAATCGGATCCCATGATAGGGAACTAATCGTACTCTTACCACAAACATGTTCATGTAAAAGAAAGTCAAACTTGGCAAGACCCCTTTGTTCGTCAGCCTCATGGATGCGCTCCATGTCCAGAAGCCGTTCGCCCGCCTGCTGCACTCTACCTACTCCAACTTCTCTGCTGTCTTCAATTCTGCCACTTTTTACCTTGGTTCTTCGTCTTCTTTTCACGGAGATCCAGCTTCTGGGTGGGCGTGATCCATTCCGCACAAGATCAAGTCCCTTTCAGACGAGGAGCACGGGGACAGTGCCAAAAAAGGGGGGCAAGTCCTCACGTAGAGGCCTGATGGGGGGCTATGACAGATTTTTTCAGGCTCGGCCTCCTTCACAGGAAAGGCCGCCCCAAGAGCAGCAATGTCCGCACTACCGGCGGAGTGCAGTAGGGCAAAAGGCCTCAAAGCCACAACAAGCTAGGGGTGAAGTGGCTTTCAAAACGTGCTCCCTCCGAGAACCACGATAATCAACGACCTGAACATACCTTTACAATCAAGCTGAGCGTGCCATGTCTTGTCTGCTCCTGACCCTTTTGTGGCGGCTACTTGAGGCATGTTTGACCTGCTCTCGAAAAATGAATGAAGCCCTAAAGATGTGTCTCGACTCGGCAACCTGCTGTTGAATAAATAAAGCTATTTACCGCAGATTAGCTGAGATTGCTAGTGCACATGAATTGTGTGAGGCATAGGATTGCGCCTCATGCGCATCGTGATTTTGCAGGAGATTGACTTCGTGACAAAACACCGAATTGAGCTCCCAACATCATCGTACGCTGACCTGCAGGCAAACCCAGCTGCAGTGCCTGCCACTTTGGAGGAACTAACGACTTCACTTGCAGAATGCAGTTCCACACAAGCTCATGCTTGCCAACCCTGCCTTGGCTCTCTCACAAGCCTCCCAAGAGCCTTTGCTTCCGCAAGCACTCTTACTATGATCCTTGGCTTGGGGAAAAACGCACCGTCTCAGACTCTCAGACTGCAGCCGTCACCGCTGGTGGATGCGCAGGTGTCGCTTAGAAGGGTGTGCGCCGCCTGGCCGAGGTTTTTGCGGAGAGACTTCCCAACGCCGTAACGCCCGACTGACAAGCCTGCCAGCTACCATCGGATATCTCATCCGCGGCCAAGTCGACAGCTTCCTGACACCACCATAATACAGTTTTAACGTCTACCTTGTCAATGTGTCCATGCCCGAGCCTGGACAGCCAGCATCTGGCCCGCCAAGCTCAAATCTTGTGAGTCTGCAAATACGGGACTGACTGATGTCGCGCCGCAGCAACTCCTTCAAAATCGAGATTATAGACAGACTGTCACATGTCAGCTATTGCGCATCTTCCCCAAGGCAGTCCCGCCAGCATCGAACAGGAAGATCCGCAGAAAGTATCCTGATGCCTGCAACATCAGAGGCGTGCTCGCACACGCGGACTCTGTCACCTCGATGACCGCAAACACTCACCGTCTGGTCATGTGGGTCGCTTTAATCCGCATAGCAATGTCGATTCTTGTTGGAAGGTAACTAGAAAGTTGCTGTCGGCCCGTGCAATTCCACATTCTGAACGCTCTCGCACGGTGTAGAGATTGATTGCGAAATGGTTGTCTGGCTGGAATTCTACACAACGCTGAAAGCAGCTGTCACATCACGTTGAATCTTGTAACTGCTTGGGCACGGCAGCAGTTTCCTTTGGCCTTGCGCATTTACAAGCCTTCTCAGACGTATCTTTCCAGGGACCCTCCACGCAAGAGCTGACTCTCTTGCAGCTTGAGTTGCCGCACAGCTAGACTTGTTTGGTGTTGCTCCTTGCTCCGGCCTAGCCGGATCTTGTGTTCAACTTATTCTATCATGCTGTAGCATCATGAACTCCTGGGCGGCCCTTTCTGCAGAGTGGTTCTTCGCGCATCTCTCCATGATATTCCCTGTCGGTAAATCTTGGTGGCCCCTATGAAGATGGAGGGTTCCTGAGTGGGCTTCCTGCTTCTTATGGCTAGTTACCTGGCTTTGTGATAATGCCATCCTGCGGAGCTGTCTCGCCCTAAGAACTGGCCAGCGCCTGTAGCTGACATGCCTGGCTGTAGCTCGGTTCACCATATTGGTAGAGATTGCTAGTTGTTCTGAGAGATGTTTTCTATGAGGTCAAAGCATGAAAGGAGCATGCTTCCTCAATCGGCGAAGGCGCACACTGAAGGAACGGGCCTGCGCGGGTCACCTGCCAGTATGGCCACCACCACGCGCCACCACCACTACCGCCACCGCCACCGCCACCGCCACCGCCACCGCCACCACCACCACCACCGCCGCTGCCGCCCCCACATCACCGCTCCCTCATTCTCCTTCGAAGTCTCAGAAGACTGGCAACTGGATGCCTCCGGGAGCCCACTGGGCAGCTGGAGCCCACTCTTCTTGAACACTGCGTTGGGAGCGTCCAGGGAAGACTCCTGCCTGACCAACCGCTTCTTTGCAACAAAAACCATGTTGTTTGGCTGGGGTAGAAATCCTTTGCTGAGGGATGGACTCCAGCTCGGTGGAGAACCACTCCCCGAGCTCAGCCACCTGCAGGCCATGTACAGTACTTGCGAACGTCGCGTCCCTTGGAGGTTAGTGGGGAATAAGGGAATATATCATATATATAAGGAATATATAGGGACTAGATTCCCTGATTCCCTACTACCCTTCAGTAAGCTTTCAAACGCCTGGGAGCCAGCAAAGTCGTCGACCTCACGCCTGTAGAGCACAATGCGCCAGAATCCGGAGAGGCAAAGGCCAGCTGCTGCCTTAGAGGACATTTGCAGCACACTTTTTGGCTATAAGCACTTGTTACTATCAGTATTGCATGCTATGTCGTTGAGGCTTGGGCTGTGCAATTTCCATACTCTGCATCGAGCTGCCGCATTGAGAGTCCATGAAGCGTCCAGCGCGCGGACACGGACGCACCCTTACCGTATCTCACAATCAACATTCAGTAGAAAATGCAGTTTTGCTTTCTACACGTCTACTGCCATCATCCCTTTGGAGTCCTCGCAAAGTGCTTCTGCATCCGCTGTTGGACATCTAGCATCCTTCAGGCTGCAGAGCACATCGTCACATATACCCGCGGGTGGAGAACACTGCCTGCAGGTTCAGCTGCGCTGCCATACGTACCTCAGCACCAGCCTGTGCTCTCTTATGGTCAACGAGCGCCCTCCTAAACACAACTTGGGACTGCCACACACTTGCCAGTAGCAGCAGCGCCACATCCAACGCGAACCTGCATGAACACGGTCGGCGCTTCTGAAGACATGCAGCCACCGGCTCACCAGCATCAAGCACCAGGTCCCCTGCCCATGGCCCGGAAACTTGAAAGCCATCAGCACTGCTCTCCGCTTCATCTTCGGCGCATGTCTCGCAATCCAAGCAAGCACCGTCAGTGTTGGCCACCTGCTTCATGGCTCCAAGATCCTTGCCACTACCCCGGCTCGTAATGTGCCTCGTATTTGCCCTTGCTGCACTCAGTGCACACCTGACTTCAACACGTCCATCTTGAGCAAGTGAGACGGTGGTTGAGGCACGGACACCAATTTGCTGCCCTCCACATCCTCGACGCTCACCCTGACCACCCCCATCACTGCACGCTGCAGAACATCTCGTGTGAGTGCTTCTCGTGCCTGTATACATGTGTAACATGTGCGGCAGAATGGCGCTGCAAAGAAGCTGCCTTAAGTGCCAACCGTCCATCGCATACAAGGCTTGGTCGGACAGAAGGAGACTGCAGGTTCCCCTACGGCAAATCTTGTCCAAGCAAATGACCCCCAGAACAGGGTGAGCAATGGCCGGGATCAGCTCCACCTACCAGGCTGCTCGGACCCGAAGAGTCAGAAGCATTGCACGCCAAGGGAAGCTGCAATCAAAACAAGTCTAGTCAGCTCTGAAGACATCCCAAAGTTGTCTGAGGGAAGCACCGCAGCCCACTCGGACATGGCCTCTTGGGCAGCTTTCGCAGGCCTCTCAGAAGCGTGTTGGCTGCATGAATGCAAGCTCCTGTAGGTCCAGGCCTGGCAGGTGTCTGTCCAAGCACCTTCCAGCCTGACCCAAACACAGTTGCACAACTTACATATCTTACATTCACACCGCGATGCAGGAAAAAACGTGGCGGTTCTGCCCGATGGTCTTGAACTCGCTTCCAGACTCACATTCCACGCACAACCCGGGCGTTGCTGGACCACATCCTCTACGAATCCTTGTTCAAAGGGCTCGCGCGCAGAACAGCTGCTGAACTGCGAGTTATTGACGCTCAACTGGCATAAGCTTCTGGCTTGCCCGCTTCGCAAGGCTGGCAGGGCTCGCAGCTGCTGCCAGGGCTGCCCGTTGGGTTGAACCTGGTTTTAGCTCAACCCGGACCTCGGACCTCGCCATGGCAGATTTGCAAAGTGCCAAGTGCCTGCCCGCTGCACACGTCTGGCAGACCCCGGCAAAGTAGGCGTGGCAGCCCACGATGACCTTTTGCAGACGCTGCCGTGTGAATGGGACACAGTCGCACTTGGCACTTGGCACTTCCTAGCCTCACACTGTGAGCACATCTGGGCACACATCTTACGGCTAAAGGATACCCTTTACCCTTGCCATTCCTTCACCGGCCTCGCCAGGATAGCACGTGGCGCAGCAGGAGGCATAGAAGAGCTTGCCATCGACAATGCCGTGCGTGGCCTGCACAAGCTGCAGAACACGTGCCACTCAAGCAGCTCTAGCCCTGCCAGCCCTCGGGCCTCAAAGCCTCTCAGGTAGCCATTGATGTTCCTGCAAAGCGCATGGTGATAGGATCTTTACGCAAAAACAGGAGAGACAAGCCTTTGCTGTCTACAGCAGCGAAGCCTCAGGGCACGCACAAATCCGACAAGGAAAGAACAGAAGAAGCCCAAGGCATCCACTCGCGCCAAGCCGGGAAGACATCGTCGCTGTAGCAGGGGTTGTTCCTTGGCAGGCAGCTCAATTGTCCACTCCAACTTAGAAATGGCTAAGGTTGTGGCTGTACTGCATAATAGCCTGGATCACATTGTGCCTGGTACAGGCACTCCGTGGTGTAGCCTTGTGGCTGCAGTGGAGCTGCAGAGTAAAGAGGCCAAGTCTGAGAAGCACTCGGCGTCGGACAGCTATCATCTGAAATTTGATCTATGTCATGCACTGTAAAATAAGCCGTTTCGCCTGGCATCGAGCCTATAGGCAATGCAGGTGCTGGGAGCTGGTTGGATGACTAGCAAGAAAGCCAGCGGTGCCGGTTGAGAGTGCCATGGACCACAGGCCGTAGGCATCCGTTGCTAGCTGCCCGGACATCTCTTGAGGCGGAGCATATCCCGGGTGGCCAGCCACACAGGCACCGATCCTGCCATGGGAACTATCAGGAGAGACGGAAGACTGAAAGGGTGTCGTGAGACCGTGGCCCCTCCAGTCGTGGCTGGGTATACCTTACTCGCAACACTTCCGACATCTCTCTGACAACCGTCGGGAACTGCCTCAGGTCTCAACCACATGCAGTAGCCAGCATCATTACTTTCAGCAATGCAGCTGGTGCAAGACCTTGGCATCCGGATAAAAAGCCAAGCTCATATATTGGAATTGGCACAACTGCAAGTGAGCTCAGAACACATGCTTGAAACATGCACCACTGGCTTGGTGCAGCAGCGCAATTATCAAGACTTCGCGAAGCATGCCTGCAGCAGAGATACGTAAGCCTGCCGTCCCGGCACAAAGCAATGTAAATGTAAACAAGAGCGCGGGCCTCCCTGGGGCCTCTTCAGGATCGAACTACGATGAACTAACAACCAGAACTATAGGCTTCACATTGGAAGCTGTCCTAACACCAGAATGTTACAGAAGGGTACATCTCACAAGCTTTGAGCCCATGCCAAACACCAGGAGGCCAGTCATGCCAGTCCCATCTGGCTTAATCTTCGCAATCTTCGCACGTTCGAGGTCGCACTGGAGATGAAGAACGCTCCTTTTGCCATAGCGGACATTAGCTTAAATAGCCTCACGGCTCGTTGTGGCCATCAGCAGCATGTCTCCGTCTTGGAAACAAGCACTTCGCTGCAGGATCACCAAGTCCCTCTCCAAGCCTCCTAGAAGCCAGGTGTTCTCAATCCCAAGCCCAAGCCTCTCAGTTTGACAGGCTGCACATCCTGCAAAGCAAGGATCTGCAATGGTCTACCAGGGAGCAGCAGCAACACGAACACATCACAAATATCATATATCACACATCCACAGGTGCAGGAGCAAGTGCTTCTTTTCTCAGCGACCACCCAGGCTGGCAGGTAAGATGGTCTGATGGAGAGAGGCTAAGCTGGTTTCGTCCATTAACACGGGAAGTGAGAAGTTGCTTGCGGAAGGGACTGAAACGGTGCTGGCTGGGACCTTTGCAGATGTTGCACGGAGGAACCGTGTAAGAGCGACGGAATCGTGCACTTGCTGCTGCTGGGCACCCAAGGCGCCCAGTGCGCCCTTCGCTGAGGTCGAGGACTGCTTGGCAGAGTCCGTGATGCGCTCACGCAAACCCTTCAGCTCCTGGGCTAGCTCCAGCAGACGGGCTTTCCGTGAAGATGACTCTGGTGCAGCCTCTGGCTCTGGCTCGAACATTGCGATCTGAGGTTGAATTTGCTCATGCAGAAGGCCATCTCTGAACGACTGCAGCTCCTCCCACAGGCTGCCAACGTCTTCAGCTCCCTCTAGCCCTTGCTGGACAAGCTGGCCGCCACTGTGCTGCAGCCGGGCATCCCAGCGCGAATGCTGCAAGACCTGAAGTTCGCGAATTTCGGCAGATTGGCGCACCACCGCACGTCGCAATGCTAACACCTCTTCAGGCGGCACATCATTGCAGTAGCGCCGCATAATCCTTCTCTCAAGCTCGTCAAGGCGATGACGTAGCTCTTTACACCTTGCCTTTGCCTCTGCCATTGTGTCTTCCATCCGGCTGCACTCTTGCTTCTGTTTGCTCAATTCCTCTTGAAGGATCGAGCATGCCTGTGTTCCTGCCTTGGCTTGCTTCTGCATCTGCTCCACGCTCGCCAAGATCAACGCCCGCCTCTCCGATTGAATGCGTGCAGCCCCAAACTGCCGCTCTGCCTCCTGCATCTGCTGCTTCGCCTGAACTGTTTGGCTGTGATCTATTCGTTTGGCAGGTTGAAACAAAGGGGATCACATATGGATCCGTCTTCAAGTCTTGCTGAGGTTGCTGTTCCTCCCTTGAACGCTAAGCTGAAGCTGTTGGTCTAGTAGCGCATACCCCGGATGAGACGGATTGACATGGGCCTGCCAGGAAAAGAAAACCACTGAACCAGGGGGACCTACGCCCGAATTCATAAGGTGTCTGTTGGGTTGCTCCGCAGAGCCTGGAAACAAGAACAAACTCGCGGGACTAGTTTACTCCACTGATCTGGGGCGTTGAAATCCAGGTTCAGAAACTAAAAGAGTAAGTTAACACTCTCCCTGGCGTTTGTTTTGCCCCGGTTTCTGTCGAGGGCAGGGGTGGTTCGGCTGGTCGGCTGGGTTCCGCGCAGGTCGGTGAGCTGCAGGACCCCTGCGCGAGGCCGAAACCAGGGCGCACAGAAGCCCGCTAAAGCCCACGAGAAGCCGGAGGAAGGGGGGGGTCAGGGTCCAGGGCAGGCTTTGGGGGTGGACTGGATGAATTATGGAATCCCGTCGTGATGCCACTTTGTGTGGGCTGCTTGCAATTTCACCAACCCGTACAAGATTGCGGAGAGAAGCCGGAAGAACATATCAAAAAATTGCTGAACTTGGTAGGGGAAGAGACGCAGGACCAATGATGCTGATGAAACTTCAACAAAGCCTTGCCTGCCCCTGTAAAAAGCATGCAATCACTTCTTCCCTAGGTGAGATTCGCACCAAACGAGCTACTTCAGGCTTCAAGCCAAACACCCTGAGAGGGGGCCAGCTTTGCAAAGGGTTCGGCACAAGATGAAACAGCAAGCGCCAGAGGTAAACTGCATATATGTGGGTGCATTACACGAAAAAACACAAGTCTAAAGCCTTTAGCTGCGCAAGGACGCGCAGATGCCTTCTTCGGACGGCGGTCGCTAGTCGCGCACCCATGAGAAAACACGAGAATAGCGGCTAAGCAAAAAAATCGCAAGACCAGGAGGGGTCTCTGTTGCTGCATACCGACATGCACGGCCAATCCACACATGTCTGACAAAAGAGGCACCGGACCACTGAAAGCGTGCTTGCTGGGATCCTGCTTCCGGTGTGCCTGCTTTCTTTCCTGCAATCCACTGCCAGTTCCAACGTATATGAAGAATCCAAAGAGCTCAAGGTCCCCAGGTCTCTTCTGGAGCAGGCTGGGAAAGTAGACTCTGTGGATGAGACATGCCCAAAAATGCCCGTGCGAGTGGTGAGGAAGATGCGAGGTTAAAACAACGCTGCAGTCTCTTGACCATTGGTCTGACCCCAACATAAATACGTGATTTGCAGGCCCAATTTGCAAGGATTGTCTGCTATCGCATCTTCACGCTTCCCTCTCCTTTGTGCAACAGTCATACAAAATCCTCCTTGCTGCTAACACCTAGATACAAAGGGAAGGTTAGCCAAGTCAAAGCCTGGCAGCCTTTGCAAGGCGATCTTCTACTCGCTGCAGCGAATCCTGGACCTTGGCAAGGCCTTTGGTTGCTTGCTCAAGGGCCGGCTGCGCAGCCTGCTCCGCTACCTCGAGGCTGACCCGCTTCCTGGCCCTGGCACGCTCCCATGGCCTCTGCCCAGAAGCCTTAGCCTTAGCAGCAGACACGTCTGCGGACGAGAACATGTCGGCCAAGTCTTCCAGCTGCATTTCGACATGGCTGAAGGTTCGCTGCAGCGCATCTGCATCAGCGGTGGCTTCATGTTGTGCGAGCGGCTGTAGCGCAAGCGAGTGCCGTAATAACCCATCCAGTAACAACTGCGTGAGACCTCTGGGTGGACCACTTTGGTGTTGGCGTCCTGGCTCAACCTCCTCAACCTCCTCCCGCTCATCCTCCTCGTCTTCCTCTTCGTCATCACTTCCGTCACTGCCGCGTCGCTTGGTGCGCTCTTCAGATGGCTCAATGGCTAGCAGGCCCGTGTCAGCTGGACCTGCGGCTTGAAAGCGATTAATGAAGCGATTCGCCTGGTCATAGAGTTCCTGCCAGCGCTTCCGCTGCGACCCACCCGCATCTGCCGATGCATAGAGCGCAGAGGCGCAGACTCCACGCAGGGCTTCCACCGCACAGCTTGCACGTTGCCAGGATGCGAACTGCTGGTCCTTAAAGAGGGCTTTCTGCAGCGAAACCAGTTGGGCTCCGTGTGCCCGCAGGGCGGCCACGACTTCTGCCCTGGAGGCATCGGAGGTCTTGTGTGCGCCCTCAAAGGTCTGCAGCAGAACTGCTAGACCCGCGTCCAGCGAAGCCTCTGACGCACAGCTGCTGAAGGCAGCGTTGCGCACCAGCCAGCAGTACCTCTGCGCTTGGTGCTCTTGGCATGCGTTCCCTCATATCCTAACTTATTGAGGGGCCTCTCCACATCCGCAGAGTAGAGGCAGCCGAGCACTCCCAATGCCTTCGCGGTTTACACCTCCCCCTCACATGGAGATCTGCAAAGAGTTTGGCGCCCGGCGGCATAGGCCAGCTGTGTGGAAGCTAAGCTCACCGAGCAGAGCCACCTCATCGATGCGGCGTCCTGACAAGCCGAAAGGAGCCAGGCAGAACAAGAGCTTCGCACAGAGACAGCATGTTGCAAACACCCCATCTCGTTCCAAAACACTGGCGACTACTGAAGTCTTTACCGTCTCGGGCTTCCCTTGCGTCATAAAAGACCGACTGAGGGCGGTGGAGATGCCAGGCAAGGACTTTGGGAGACTCGGGTCTCACAAGAGTGCAGAACGCAGACAACAAGTCTTCCCTTAAAACAACTGGACGAGGGAGCAAGTAAATGACGATCAGCAACATAAAATCATATTCTGTCGAAGACCCATCGGGTCACAGCAGGGATGATATGAATCCCAGACCACTGAGTGCTTCCAGGGCTTAGCTCTTAGCGTTCGGCCTATGTTGGAGTGGCTCGTCTAAACGCCCTGCACTGCCCAAAGCACCTCAGCTCCACAGACCTGGCCCAGACACTCATACGAACGTCTAGAGTCTAGACTACATCTGAGCTGCGTTGAATTCCTTGCATTGCATCATCATCCTGGAAAGAACCCTTCCGCCCGAGAGCGTTGGCAGCCCTTTAGAAGACTTCTGGACCTTTTGATCTGGGCTTGCAAATAAAACTTCTTCCTGGCTTGGGCTTTGCATTTGAGATTCCGCAAGAGCCTCCACCGACAAAATGCTTTCGCAAAACCTTCCGCATGCTTCCGCATAGTGAGTGCTCTGTATTTTGCTGACGGGTCGGGGAGGGGGGGGAGGCGGAAGTGAATAAGATTTCATTAGCCCTTAACAGATCCCTTAACCATCCCTTATCTGAGCCTCGTAATTACTAAGGTGCCCCGACTCCTCCCTTACACCCTCTCCCAGACCCCTTATCCCCAGCAGAGCAACATTTTAGCGAGCTGACCCCTCCACCATAGCCAGTCAGTTGTAAATAATGATGTCTAAATTTCTCGCAGTGGCAAAAGGCACAACCGGCACAACCTCTTCCAACCAGAAGCAACTGAAGTCAATGGCAATCCAAAAAGTTGCTTGCCTGCAGAACTGCCAGCGCGGCATCTGCGATGAAGTGCTCATGAATGCTGCGACTCAATATGCATGCCTGGGCCAGTATGCTTGAAATGTCTTTGCAAGCAAGGGCACACTGGCCTTCTGGTAGCAACGATGGAGCGCGCATAGGGAGTGGAAGGTAACTCCCAGCTCTGCCTCGTCACGCACCTGGGCAGATCGTTTGAGTCTTCGATTCAAACCTAACTGAAAACTGGCTTTGGCTCGGATCCAGGGGTAGAGCCTGGCTTGGCAAGCACGACATCCACGCTTCAGCATCAGCTATGGCTTCGCGGCAAGCCACAGACACCTCCAGCAGCCCATGAAGTAGACAGTAAATATGCCTGTGCCTTTTTTTGAATCGCCTCAAGCGTGTCTGCCTCGATTGCTGAAGGCGAAGCCCCTGCCTCGAAGAACTTGAAAGCCAGGAGCTCTCCGTGATGAACAGCTCTCATGAAAGAATACACTGAACATAAAGGCCCCGTTCCACCGGCATGTGCTCGCGGCTAAGGCAGCAGCACCAGCGGCTTTGCCGCTGGAGCGCAGCATCTGCAGCCGAATCTCCAATCTGGCAACCTGTCCGACATCAAACTTAAACTTCCGCTCAGTAGGAGGAACCACTACATTCGATGCTAGCAAGGTGTGCTTTCCACCTCTCGATCTTTCAGGAATTCTGTTAAGTCCCGATCCTGTTTTGATCTGCGAGGCCCCCAGTGTGCTAAGTGCAGACTGCACGGTCTAGACACAGAGCCAAAATTGGCATAGAATTCATGGGATGACTAAAAAACTTGATGCAAATTGTCGCCCATGGCGCGGGGATGCACAACGTAGGTCCTACGCTCTTCCAAATGGCTGACTTGGCAAGGCACCGCTTGCAAGCGGGGGATGTGAATGACACATGTGCAAGAACTAGGCAACAGGGTCGTGCCAGTAAGCCCAGCTTATTTCGGGAATGTGGTCGTCACTGCCCTGCATTTTATCTCCCATAGACGGTTCGTTGGAGGGATTCCTGGTCCGGACCTCTCGTCCATTCCCATAGTATAGGACGCCCAAGTATCCCTTATACAAGCCCCCCTCCAAGAATCTCTTCCCAGACATCAGACATGTCAGGAAAGCAAGCAGCCCAACGGCCTGCATCATCAGCATATGATTTCTAAACCTTTTAAAGAACTCCAAGTCTTGAACTCGCTGACCCGCCCATTCACGGTTCGCCTCAGCGCTGCTGGCCAGCCGCTGGCTTTGCATCTGCCTTCGAATCTGGCCTCTCAGAGTTCTCTTGGGAAAGACTTCCCCGAACCGCAATAAGCCCAGGCACAGAGCTGCAAAGCCAGCTCCTCCAACTGCTCCTCGCGGGCCTCGACATCAGGGCTGTACGGGCTTTATGGTACTTCCATGTGAATTGCAACCCACCTGCAGAGACTGCAATTCCTCCGAGAGTTGAACTTCAAGATCTTGCTGTGTCTAGCGAAAGCGGAAGCGTAATCATCAAGACAACAGCTAGGCATTCGAAGCCTCCAGCATCTCCAGGCTTGTCTGCTGCAGGTATCTTTGTTCCTGCATGAAGCCCAGCATGGAAGAGGAGGTAGGAAAAAAGGCACGGAAGAAACGTTCAAAAAATCAGGATCCAGCCTCCACCAGCTTGGTCTTTGCAGCTAAAGCAGATGCCAAGCCCTCATTCTGTGCAGTCAGCTGCTCCACAGCTCTCTTCAGCATGGACACATCCTTCAGCTGCAGCAGATTACAGCAGGAACAGAGAGGAGCAGTGTGGGCAATCAGGGACTCAGCTCCTCTGTCCCTTTGGACTTTGCTTGTAACTGTTGGGCTTGCAATTGGGTACGCTCCAGTGCCTGAATCAAGGCCCACCAAAAATCTCAGCATCCGAACTCTTTGTTCATTTTGCCAGGGGCCCAGCAGCTGCGCGGTGCCGAAGCCGGACCACCTCGGCCCTGTGATTCCGGTAGTAGCTCCACAAGGCCTCGCCCACAAGCGGAAGGTTGGAAGGTGCCAGTCTACACGCGCTCTTCACATACCTTCATTTTGCCGGGCCTCACGGTGCCAATCAACTTGGACCTGCAGAGAGCGTCAGGAAACGGGGCCGAGAAAGGAAGAGTTTGAGCACAGCAAGGCGCAGCAGCCTGCTCAGTCCACGCCGCATTGTCTGCTGCCCATTCAGTCGTGTCCTGGACTTCCTGCAATTTCTGAAGCTAAGCGTGCCACTGCTTCTGCTAGAAGTGGCCTCTAACTTCAGAGTCAGTTCTTCAGCTTCTATGTCCAGAAGTTCCTGGCCAAGCGATTTTTCAATGCTGCAGAACGAATCTTGGGATCGGCCTTCTCCTTAAGCTCCTTCGCAAGTTGCTCCTGCAGACGCCTCAGCAACGTGCCAGCTTTCCCCAACTTGTCCCCTGCGAACTTTGCCGAGACGCTCGACCACCGCACGCAAGCTTCCAGAAGCGCCGGAAGCCTCACAGTACACAAAACTAATCATTAGGCTTTTGTAACTTGACCGCCCTTTTGCCTCTGCGAACGTGTCACTTGGAACTTCAGCTCCGTCACCCTGCATATGCACAGAAGAGAATAGAAAACAAAATTGCAAGCAACCACAGCACTGCAGCAAGAGCCAGGCGCTGCCCGGAACCAGGTGGCATCCCCTTACACCGTTGTACCCAGGGGCTTCTTGCCTGTACTTCGGTGCCGGAGAAGGCCTGCGATTCAGCCTTCAACATCCAAGCGATTCCAGCTCTCAGAACATCCAAACACTGTCATGGACCTCGAAGGCAGCGTGCTCCCTCTCCAAGGTTCCTTGGCTCTTGGCCGCTTCCTCTGCCTCCAGACAAGCACGTTTGGATCTCCCGCCTCCCCATACTGATGCTAGATTTGGATGGACAGGGTCTACAAACGTCTTCAGCCAGCTGAGTGAAGGCATCAGAAGATAAGACTAGCACCATATTACCTTACTCTCGGAAAGCTGACCTTTATGGCGTTGATCGCTGTAACGAGATGAAGAAGGGCGCAAAAGTACCAGCCTGCAGTCGAATTTCTGCAGCCTCTGCAGAGGCGCTGCAACACTGCAAGGGCAATCAAGTGGGTCCATATCTATCCCTCGTCCTGCCTTTCTCTCCTGCGCAGCAGCAGCTGCTGCCATAGCTGCCGCCGCGGCTGTTTTCGCCTTCTCCAGTTCTGCTTCTGCTTGTACCGCCTGTTCTCTCGCACCTCCAGTGCGCGTTCCTTTCGAGTTTTGACACGGCATCCTGCTTGCAGATTGGGCCTTCACTTTTGCTTTTGACTTCTTCCAAATCAGCCGTGACTTTTGACAGCTTAGCCTGTGCTGAAGGTGGATAAAGCAAGATGCGAATGATTACTCAAGCCACAAGACATGAGTCGCCAGCCACGGCCTGCAGATCTGCAGCTTCATCTGCAAGCTGGGAAGTCAGTCTGATCGCACGTGCCTGCTAGTCAAACATTTCAGGTACCCAGTGTCATTCATCCGACACAGGAGCCTCTGCTTCTCTGGCAGCTTCGGCTGCAGCAATTGCCTTTTCTGTGGTCGCAGATCTGGCCGGAGGGTTGAAAGCCTCTGTCCTCAAAACAATGTCTTGTGACTTATCGCTCATCTGCACCCTGTACCCACGCTGTACCTGCTGCATTCCAAGGCTCAGTGCCTCCTGGGCCTGGAGCGACAAACATGTAAAATGTAAGCCTTCAGGCTGCGCCGGCTGGGTGGGGGCACTCGCCTCTACTGAGCCTGGGGATGGGGACTTGTCGGCCGGAGTTGCCGTGGCGGCTGACGCAGGCAGCGGCGCCGGCTCTGATGCAAAGGCCGCTTTCAGGGATTGATCTTTGGCCGCAGCTGGAGGCGAGCTCACCTCTGGCTTCGCTTCCTTTTCAGGCCTGGCCTCCTTCACCTCCTTGGCTTCTGGCTTGGCTTCGGGAAGGTTTGGAGATGGAGGCACCTGTGCTCTGACTGAAAGACGAGCGGGGGATGTCGGTGCTGGGCTGGCGGCCTTCGAAGTGGGGCTCCCTGGTGACGAAGTGGATACTCTCCCCGTAGTCACTGGAACGAGCGTCACTTGTGCAGGGCGCACGAATATTCCATGGTTAGGCGGACATGTGAAATACGTCACGTCCTTCACAATGCCGTCATTCCTGGAAACAGAGCTTTGCACCTTTGCATTCTTGCGGACTCGAAGAGCTCCCCGTCCTTCCAACCGGATCATCCAGCTGGATGCCAACCCAAACTCCGCCAGCAAACTCAGTTTGCCCGCAGAATCTGACCTACAGCCCACAGATGGCAGCTTCTCGCAGCAAGCTAGCCTCCAGTAAGGCCGTCGCAACACCTGCGCGGTTGCTGACGAAAACCTGCTGTCCGACCGAGAAGTTTCCACCTTCCGTTGCCCAGGTGCCCAGGGTGCCTTTCCTACTTATGAACAAGAAGAAGAACAACAACTAAAGATCCAGGGTAGGATCTCCAGGTCAACAAGCACTCTACCGTTAAGCCTTGTAGTCGAGCTCTTTTACAGTGGGTTGCGGCGATCATCAGAGTCATGGTCAAGCACTCGGTTCAACATGTAATTGTACGTGAAACCAAATTGTGTAACATGCATGACATGCAACTGGAAAATNNCGGGTGCTCTTCGAGCACGTAGGCGCAACTTGCGTGAAAGCGATGCAATGCAAGAAACGAATCCTACGATCGACCGACGAAAGGTTGCCCCTCGTTTTCCAGTGTCGCCGCTCTGATCTGGTTGAAACGAATTAGGACAACTTACCATGTCCGTAGCAGGTTCATTACGACCGCTAAGCAAGTCCTTACGACTGCAGCAAAACATGCAGGCTACTCGTTACACATCAGCAAAGTTTTCATCAACTCACTTACGGAGGACCAAAACGATGCTGGGAGTCTGGGAGTAGCAAGGCAAAAGAAAATGCGACACAGTGCAGATAAACCGATTTGGGAGTGCAAGTGTGAGTGAGTATGGGTGGAAATTTGACGTGGGTTAGGATAATGCTTTAGCTAACCCCCCCCCCTTGTTCCCATACAATCACACATGCAGTATGGTATAATAACTCCGGGCGCTTAGCGCTGGCAGAAATAAAAGTGCGCATCAGACCAACAACATACAAAGAACAAGCATGATTTCCTCCTAGGGTTTCCCCTGGCAATCGAACTGTTTGTTGTGCTGGGTTGACCCAGTCACTTAAACACCGGGGATATCTCCGGCATGATGCGACTTAAAACGGAATGCTGAACTACTGCCACTCAGCGCTTGCCTTTGGACTTGCCCTTGCCTTTCGCGGGGCCCTGGCCTTTGGACATCGGCCTGGGGTCTCCCCCGGCACTCGCCTTGGCTGCCAACTGGCGTTCCCTGTTGATGCGCGCCACTTCGGCCTGCTGATCATAGGCTGCGACCATCTGCCCTTCGTTGGCACGGAACCACTCCATGAGGCACTGCCTGAAGTTCTCGATATTGTCCACCGGCAGGATCTTCCAATGGCCCTGGAACGTGATCAAGGTCGAGGTGATCTGCGGCTGGTGATAGAGCAGTCGGCTCGGCAAAGTTCTTCAGGTTGAAGAAGGTGCCTCCGAAGCCGACGCAGACGTTTGGGTCAGAGACATTGGAGATGAGATTTGCCGCCTTAAGGGTTTCCCCTCGGATTCCGTAGAAGAATACGGTCCTGGCGGGGTAATCTTCCGCAGTCTCTCCCATTGGCACCTGGCTCGCACCCAAGTTGAGCGCGCGCTGAGCTGCGCTACGCTGGGTAGCTGGAATCACCGCGCAGGTCAAGCACTCCCAGATTCTGATGTTGGACACCGTCTGGCCGTTCTCCATCATGTTGGCCGCGAAGACGGGGTCCCGGTTGTAGCGATCCTCGATCGTCTGGAAGCCCTTCTCATTGGCTCTGACCAAGTGATTCCTTGCACGCTCCAGAGTTGCCGCTTCAGGACTCTTTGGCAACTTGCCTGTCACGTCTTTCGTAGGACGGATGTCTCGGGCAGTCAGCTCGGTGAACTTCAGGTTGGTGGTCCGGCACACTTCACGGAGCAGATTCTTTCTGGAGACTGCCAAGAATTGCCGACTTGCGGACGAAAAATTGGCTGCCTGTCCACCTCAATCAACGGCCTGGGGTCTCCCCCGGCACCCGTTGCAGCTTTGGCCTTCTCCTTTGGCGGAGTCTTCGGGGCCGCGACGCTCTTCACGGGTGGCGCCGTTGCAGTGGCCATGGGAGCGGTGGTTCTCGGCAGCAAGAACGCCAACATTAGCTTGGTTGACGAGGCTGCCTTTGGGATTTTGGGCGTTGCTCTCTCCATTGCTGGCTTGGGAGGAGAGGCTGCTTTCGGAATGTTGGGGGCGCCCTGTGTTGCGGAAGCCTTGGCGCCCATCTTCTTCACGCCCTTGCGCGTTGGCTGCAACACGGCTTTGAGCACTACCACATCTGTTGACGAAGACGCCGAAGATGTTGCAGGTGGAGGAGGCTGAATCCTTGGTCGCTTGGGCATAGGCATGGTAGCTTCCGGAGGTGTCCTTTCCCGAAGAGACGGCATGGGGTTTCCCCCTGCACCCGTGGAGGCTGTCTTGGCCACCTTTGCGGGGGGCTCAGCGATGTTCTCCATGGGGTCGTCGATGATCGTCTCCTCGATGGGGTGATTCGTGAAGCACAGGTAGGACTCCGGAGAAGCAACTATCATGTCTTTGCCCAATTTGGCTCAGTTGCATCAGCACTCCACACTGCCTCATCGGTTGTCGTGTCACGGATCCCCAAGACAGAGCGAGGGTGGACTCGATCAACCGTCAGGACGCCATCGCTCACTGTCCGGAAGAATAGCGCACCGAAGTACATTGCTATCTCCGTATCGACAACGAGCGCATACTTGGCTGAGGCCCTGACTCCGGACTTATACTCGATGTCCTCCAGCGGCTTGTCCGAGAAGTAATTGTGAGCTTTGCCGGATTCGACTTCTGGACCGCCACCAACAAGGAAACCTTTCTCAACAATCGCCATAGCGGCTTGCCATTTCTGGCAGCAGTCTGATCCTTCTCACCGTCGGTGTGGGCCTCGAATCGAAAAACGATACCGCAGTCGCAGTGGCCAATTCAGGATTCTTGTCCACCGCTTCTTGACTTGCCCGGATCTGATAGGGCCAGACTGGGATCTCGAGAAGCTTGCTATGGGGGGATAGCTGGGCCTCGCAGAGCGAATCTTTGCTTCTTGTCGAGCTTGAACGCGTCGATCACTTCTGCGAGGGTCCATGTCTCATCCGCGTCAGTCCGGAGATAACTGAGCACGCCTTCTGTTGCCAACCCGGATGATGCCAGAGAAGCGCTTCAGCTCGGGGAGCTCCAAGCGGCGGCTATGCACTTTCGGCCACTTCTCAGGTGGAACTTCGAACAGAGGGAGGCTGCCCAGGTCGGGAAGATCGCCCAATGCGTCGACGGCAAAGATGGCGTCGATCTCTCGGCGAGCGGTGGTGTCCACCTCCTCTGGACCCGGCTCAGGGTTTCCCCCGGCACTCTGTTCTTCCACTGGCTTCCTTGCAGGCTGTGCTTCCTCAGCTGTTCGAACGAGGTTTGCTGGAAGAGGAGGGACTGCAAGGTTCGCGGGCATTCTTGACAAGTAGAAGTCTTCAATCGCGTCCAACTCGTTCAAGGAGTTGTTGGCTGCCTCCCGCGAAATGGCCTCGGGCCGTACTGCAGTCCTGTTGATCTCTCTGACCGTCAAGAGGCCCTCCATTTGTCAGGCGTGGATCTGATTCGCCAGCTCAGTGCGCTGTCCGATGTTGAAGTAGTCATCCGGGTTGACGGGGAACCTCTCGGCAAGCCTTTTCAGGCTGCAGTAGTACCTTGCGGCTGTGGCTTCCAGGAGCAGCACCTGCGCTTCCCTCGCAAAGTAGGGTCCGAGCAGGGCTCTGTTTCGGTCACTATGCCACAAGTGCCACAGATCTTTAAATTCAGCGCGATCGAGGAGCTGCTTGACGTCGAGGGTGTGCACACCAAGTCGCCTGGCCTGCTGCAAAGTGCTCGTTGAGCTCATTGAAGGCAGCAGGGAGGTGATAGACCGGTGCATTGTTTCCAAGCACAATACTGACGAAGCCAGAGCGTGGTGGCCTCCTGATGGATGCCAGTGCCCGCAGGGCCCGCTGGATGCCACTGGCGATCTCGCGGATGTTGCCTCGGGCACCATGCACCTCGCCCCAGGATTCATTCGGCCACACTTC